TATCACAAGGATTCCGCTCGGCTAGGGTTAACTTAGAAAATCGACTACCGATTYGGTGTGATATGTGTGTGATGATCATGTGATATCACTATCATAACAGCGCACTTGATTTGATCATGTTTCGATCGGTTAGGATTAGACGATCACACATTTATCACAACGATTACGGGCGAAATCCACTAAACGATTTGGTGTGATATGAGTGTGATAATCATGTGATATCACTATTATAACATCACTTGCGCATTCAATTTGATCATGGTTTCGATCGGTTAGGGTTAGACAATCACACATTTATCACAACGATTACTCATGGTTTCGATCGGTTAGGGTTAGACAATCACACATTTATCACAACGATTACTCATGGTTTCGATAGGTTATGGTTACACTTGATTGATCATGGTTTCGATAGGTTATGGTTACACAATCACACAATTATCACAAGAGGAGAGGAGAGAGTGGAAAAGAACGTGCAGGAAAAAAATGGATAATTATGACAAATTAAAATAAAATAAAAATTATAAAATTAATTAATTACATTATTGCCCTTATTAATTTATTTATATTTAATATAAGTTAATTTATTAATTAAAAAAGTTTGAGGTTATTAGATTGTTCTCGCATTCTCATAAATCACAGGGGTTCTCGTTTGAACCTCCACCTATATATATATATATATATATATCGTTTCATCATGTAAATAAAAAAAAGGTTCACGTAAATAAAACAATACCTTACGTCGTAGTTTTTGATAATAATAAAAAAAAGACATGTGAAAATATTTTTATATTGATTCTCTTGGGTTTGTAGGTTTTTTGTGGTTATCTTTATCATATTATATATATATATATATATATATATATATATATATATATCAATCATTACACATACATGGGTTCACTTGTTAACCTAATATATGGTGTTAAATTTGTGAACCAATCTTATCAATTGATCTTTGAAATTGGTGGCTGAGATTATTCATGACATAAAATGTAAATAATTATACACATAGACAATGTAACATAAGTGAACAATATTTACAAGGAATATTTTGGGAAAATATTTTAGTTGTCTATTAATAACAATATAATTATCTAGTAATTACTCTAGTCATCGAATCGAAACCGCCAACGAGATCCCCAACATCATATTCTTCTACATCTTTTTTTGGTTAATGGTTCATGTGTGAACAAATATTCGATATTTATGGGAATTGTTCATGCATGAACAGAGGTGTATATGGAAAAAAGTCGTATTTTTTTGTTTGTAACATCCATGTTTTGTTTTAGTAAACACATACACTATGTAGTCTCGCTCATATATAAAATAAATGTGGAATAATACATGGTTCACCTATGAACAAACATCAAATTTTGCTTATGAACAATGTTCATGTGTTTACTTTTGAAAACCTATTCAATTTTTTTAAATAATTAGTAATTTGTACATACCTAGTTTTTGTCAAGTGTATGTGATTATCAGGTTCACATATGAACACAAACACTTTTTTAAATGTTGAAACGAGATGGTTCACTTAAGAACAAGTGTTTACTCAAGTATAATTAAGAAATGTAACCGACAATTAATTATTTGGAATAATTAAGAAATGTAACCTACAATTAATTGGCATAAGATATTCACAATGCCAAGACATGGAATAAGTAAGAAATGTAACCGAAAATTAATTTGCATTAAAATATCAAATAAAAAATTACAATTTTACCCTCATTATATATATAGAAGCGATCAAATACAAATCGTCTCAATTTGTACAAACCTTACAAACCAATTATAACCAATCACATAAATCTTTCTGTTTTTTTTTTTTAATTTATAAGGGTATTATGATCATTTGAATTTACAATAGTTATGTTTAGTAATTATTTAATATTAATAGATAAGTTTGGTAACAACATAATATTTATATAAATATAGATGATATATTGATTAGCACAATATTAGCAAAGATTTAATTGAGGTATCCATTAAAATTTTTGAAAAAAACGTCACATTTTAAAAAATATAGAATAATTTTGTTTAAAAAAATCGCCACTAATTTCCAATTAAACATATACTCAAACTATTCAACGAAACAGGTAATTTCCAATTAAACAGGCTCAATTGTTCAATGAAACATGGTCATCTATAATTACATAAGGTTCATATGTATAACATTTGTAATAAAAAGTGTTATATTCATAGGTATGCATAACAATTTGTAATGAAACATGTTCATATATATAACAGTTGTAATAAAACAGGTTCATAAGTCATATATGATTGAATCGGGTTCATATGTATAACAACTGTAATGAAACATGTTCATAAAATATGGTCGTTTTATTTTTACTTTACTTATTTAGTTTGTTTCAATTTTGGTTTTTCATAAAAAAAGGAATGAATATGATTAGTTTGTAAGGTTTGTATAAAATGGATGATTTGTAAAGTAAACATCTTTCTCTCTCTCTCTCTCTCTCTCTCTCTCTATATATATATATATATATATATAAGTAGTACAAATTACTAAAAATGAAGATAATAATATTTGAATGAAAAATTAAATTATATTAAAAGGTTGGCTCATTCAAAGGCTCACAAGTAATATGGTCGTTTTATTCATCATGAATAATGAATAATGATACATTCATGATGAATATGAATGTGTTATTTATCATGAATCATACATTTTATGATGAATATACATGTGTTATTCATTATGGATAAAACATCCATATTGCTGATAAATATGTCATGTGTCACGAAATGGACAAAAGCTTTTACATAAATAAGTTAGATAAAAAAAATAATATTTTGATATGCACCTTTATTTATATCATAATAGCTCCTTCACTTGATTGGAAATGACGAGTCGACAACTCCGAATCACAAGCTATTGACAACTAACTAAACTACTCCGGATGAGAGGTGAAATATTCCACCTTCCTTCAAGTATACTCGCTTTCTCACTAAATTAAAATTAGGTACATATCGGCATTTCGTATAGAGGTTATTATGTCAGCAATAGTATCACTAGCCATGATTAATTAAAATTATTGGTGCCTCCAAATTTGGATATAATCAACATGTTTTTTTTTCCGTATTTGTTTATGAATATTAATTTTGAAAGGTATATACTATCTATGCATGTATTTTCAGCCTGGACTCTATAATCTTTTGCTTCTCGGGTGGTGGCGAACATTGCTGCTTGCGTTGCGGGAGATGCCCGCTCGTAGGTCCCGCCCTGCTTCCCTCCCGAAAGAACCACTCACTAGCTAGCCGGACTAGTGGGGGGCCTATCTGGAGACATACTGAAAACCATGCCTTTCGAACCAAACGCAACGCCCGTCTTCCAAATCAAAAGAAAAAAGGGGGAATAAAGATGGAGTGCAGCCTGTAGAGCACATGTAACGCACAGTCGAGTTGCTCACGCAGCGGATTTCTCTCTTTTTAGATATCTATAGATAAAGAGAGAGAGGTGAGATCAAATCATGCATTTAAAATATAAAGTATATGTTTTAATATAATATATTTAGTAATATATAAGAATGAGGAAAAACACAAAAAAAAAATGAAAAACAGATGAACACTCTAAAAACTGTTCATCTAGACCATAACACATGTATATAAAAATAATCTTTAAGCAATTTATCCGGTATATATACATATATATATATATATATACATACATATATATATACATACATATATATATATATATAATCTTCTAAATAAATGGGTGTAATAATTCTATTAAATGGTGACCCAAAAGTGACAGAAGAAGACAAAACAGTGGTTTCGTCATCAAATCATGGGTCATTGTAGGGTACCCCCACTCCCTTGTAGGACACCCCTACTTACACCCTGGCAAATGGCAATACCCAACATCCACCATCAACTTCCCATGAACAGTATTAGGATTGCTGATAAAAATATTTATTGTTTTATTTGGGAGCGACATTGGTAATAAGCATTTTTAAGTGTTTGGATAAATAATTTATACCGTTGCTAAACAGGTAATAAAAAGTTTTTAAAAAAGTTAAACCATTTTAACTTATAATAACTTGATAAGAACTTTTGTATAAAAACATAAGTTGTTTCAAACAAACAATCCCACACCCCTTAGACTTTATTTATTCTGGATTTACCCACGTGGCAAGCTGGTTCATTTTACAATCAATGCTATCTTCTTTAAAAATAGCCGATTAAACTGATCAAATTCATCTTTTAATCACTTCTGATATTGAATTTTTATTTTAGTTAAAATTTATATAAATAAGTTAAAATTATCTTTAATAGATTCTCTAAAAAAATTAAAACGAAGAACTAAAAGTTAAATTTATAAAAAAATTATATTCATTTCGGAGAATCTAACATTGATTATAATATTAAAAATATTTAATTCATCTATTAAAATATTATTTATCTCTTTAAATATTTATTTTCAAAGTTTTCTATTGTTGGTTTCACTTTATAATCATTTTTGGAGTGTTCTCCATGTTTAGAGAAAAAAACCCTTATCTCCCCTATTTTCTCCTTTTTAAATATAGTTTTAGAAAAGCCGTTGGAGTAAAATATTGACTTAAAATCCATATTTTATTTCATTTTAGAGAAGTTGTTGGAGATGCTCTTAGAGCAATTTCAACATATTCTCTATAATTTCACTAAAAGAAAGAAATAAAAGTCAAAATCTCTAATATTCTTCACATTTAGCTCCAACATCTTCTTTATTTCAGAAATTTCATCATTAAATATATTATTTAAATATTATTTAGAGTTTTCTAAAATTTTCTGTATCAAGAGTTTTCTTCATAATTTTTTATTTTAAAAAATTTGTTGAATATAATTTTACATAAATCTAAAAATAGAATTCACCTAAATGCATATGGTATTTATGTGAATTTTGATTTAAAAAAATGCTAAAATAATTGAATTTATGGAAAAGGTATACTATTTCCCTTATATATACCCCTACCCACCCCACCTGTAACTCCATCCCAAATCTCCATGCAATCATGGGAATTTGTTGTTCATGCCACTCCACCTCCGTCGCCACCGCCAAGCTGATATTACCCGACGGCAGCTTACAGGAATTCTCCTCCACCGTCAAGGTTTCCGATGTCCTTCGCCACCACCCTTCCGCCTTCATCTGTAACTCAGATGAGATGGATTTTGATGATGTCGTTTCCGCCATTAAAGGTGACGATGAGCTTCAACCTGGTCAGCTCTACTTTGCGCTTCCATTGGCTCGCCTGAAACACCCTCTTCAGCCGGAGGAGATGGCGGCATTGGCGGTGAAAGCCAGCGGTGCATTGGCTAAATGTGGGTGTCGTCGTCGCCGGAAAAATATTTGTTTTACACCTTCGTTTTCTGGGGAGAAAGGGTGGGGTTCGAGTAGGGTGGCCGATGCGGAGACTATTGGGTCGATACGGCGGAGCTGCGGCGGCGACGGTGGAAAGAGGCAGAATTTTAAAGTAATGTTGAGTGCCATACCGGAGTAGTGGTGTGAAGGGTTATTTTTGTAAATATGGTAAAGAAGTCTCGAAGTGAGGGCACTTTATGATAGCGACGACGTCGTTTTTTCCCCTCTACTTCAGGCATTTTCCATATTGGGAGTATTATTACCTTTTTACCCCTGACATGGGTCATTATAAATATCGTAAGTATGTATTTTTAGTTCCTCTTGGAGGGACTCTAAAATTAAAATAAAATTTGGTGTGGTATTATTTTATTGTTTTATACAATAAAAATACCATAACAACCGTGTGAGTTTATTAGAACTGATGTCTTACGGTTTGAATTAATTTGTGCATAGTCTAGGATGCTCCTCAAGATTTTTGTCTGAGTGGGTGTACCTTTAGGATGGATCAAAGCGTTCCAAAGTCGTCTAACGTGTTTTTATTAGACACCATTTCAAGGGACTTTTTTTATTTTTTAGTTGATTTCAAGATACTTTCCATATCAAGCAAGTTATGACCATCAGAAAATACATTCATACATATATATATATATATATATATATATATATATATGCGTGTGTGTATGTGTGTGTGCACATGTATATATATGTATATAATCCAAATGTGTAAGGGTGAAGCATTTTCAAATTAATCCAAAGGTTAAGGGCCGTTTACCCAATTGCTTACCCGGTAAGCGCTTACCAATAGGAGTCAATATTTTAGTATATTAAAATATATCGAATGCAACAATTTAGTGGGTAAGAACTTACCGGAGTAAGAGGCGCCATCCTCACTTACCGGGTAAGACTCTCCATCATTCTTATCGCTCTTACCCGGCATGATTCTTGACCATTCTCATGTTCATTCGATGAGGAAATTTATCTGACAAGTACTTACCAAATAAGTGTTTAGTAAACAGCCCCAAACTATTGTTACTATGAATGACTTGTATTAGGCGTATGTCTATGCTTTAATGACTTTATAGTTATGCATTGCAGTCGTACAAAATATATCTATTGATGCATTTGTCTACTGCATTATACAATTCCCATGGGTAAAATTCAAATACAATATATATGCGTTGTGCAAGTTGCAAGTACTTGTATAATCCTAATTAAACACTTTGCCTAAAAATTATTCAACGGTTGGCATCTTAATATACAACATCGTGCTACACAACTGGTTTTCATGCATCCATAAGAACTGGTGGATGGCTAATATACAGTTTGGTCTGGTTTATTAAGATTTAGTTTGGTTTGGTTTTATTCGGGTTTAGTTTGGCCTTATTAAAGTGGGTTCCTATTGCCCGATTTGGGCACCTTGCACCAACTCTTACTTCAACCATCCATTTTTATGGAAACATTACATTGTGCTACCGAATCAACATCATATGATTCATTTATTGTTAGGATATGATTGTTGGAGACATCAATTAAACAACAGATGCCATTTCAGATTACGTGATAAAGAACTGTAAGGATAATAAAAAAAAAACATCTAAATACTATAGGAAACCGTAAGGATTCATAAGTTAGGTTTAAATCTGGAATATAAGTTGTATTCATAGGTCAAATGAGACAATTTACACCAGACTTGCAAAACACATGACTTATCACAAAGTACAACGAACAAGATGATACCAAAAATGACCAGCTCAAGACATAAAATAAAGAATTCCAAAAATACCCTTCTAAGTAGAGATGCATAAAAGAACCAAGTCTGAGGCCTGACCCAAAAAATCCCGGTCCAAACAAGGCCTCAAAGCTCGATTAGGCCAATTTTTTTGGGGGCAAGGCTAGCTCAAAAAAACCTTACCCAGAAAAGCTTGAAAAAACACGGTTAAACCTGAAATAACCCAATTAAGCCTGCAAAATCCTACCAAACGCTCTTTGAACCCTAAAGTCCTGGCTCAACCTGTCTCGGCTTAAAAAACCGGGCCTTCTTTTTGCTTATTGAAAATGGATTTGGAAGGCCTATACTTTTTGCATCTCTACTTGTAAGACATGAGAATAATAGAACTTATTTGGGTTCTCATTTCGTTTTTCCTTTCTTTAAAAGACCAAGAATGAGACGAGTACCATAAGGGTGGTGCATGATTAGTTTGAGCTTGGCTCCAAAGATGAAAAGTACCAGAGGTCCTAGGTTCAAATCCAAGAAGGAATAAAAATCCCCTTGTGGCCACGGAGGTTCAAATGCGGTGACTCCGGTCTATCTGCAAAGCAGGTGGTTTCCTTGGGATTAGTCAACTCGCATAGCGGGTTGAATATCCAGGTTGATAAAAAAAAAAAAAAGAAACAAGTGCAATTTTTGCCATTGGTCTACTTTCAATGGACCGGGTAAATGGGTAACATTAACATCTTTAATGCATTAAATGGCTTATTTAATAAGCCCAATAAGTAACCAAATGGCAAATATCCAGTTTTGGGCCGGATCTTTTTTTGGGTCGGATCCATCATAGTTAAAGGATAGAGTGATTGACCCGCCGCCCGCCGGTGGCAACTTCCAAAAAATATTCACGTGCGGCTACCAAATTTAAATCACATCACGTGGGTGCCATTTGCCAACTGCCAAAAGGGTAATAATGTCAATTCACCCAACTGAACCCATAAATAAAACGTATCCCCCATCGGACTTTTTCGATTAGTACAAAAATGAATAAACTTTTGCTGGTATTAACACTACTTCTATGGCGCGCCGCCGCACAAGCACCTCCACCGCCGGCGGTTCCGGCCGACGGTAAGGAGTACTTAGACGCTCACAACAAAGCAAGAGCCGAAGTGGGTGTGAGTCCACTCCGGTGGAACTTTCAGCTGGCTAAAGCCACGAGCTTACTGGTCCGGTTCCAGAGAGACCGTGAAAACTGCCGCTTTGCGAATTTAACGAGCGGGAAGTACGGCGGCAACCAGATGTGGGCCTCCCAGGAGGTGGTGACGCCGGCGAGAGTCGTGGAAAATTGGGTGTCGGAGAAGGCGTATTACAGCTACGCCAACAATTCGTGTGCGGCGAACCACCGTTGTGGGGTGTATACGCAGGTGGTGTGGCGGCATTCGGAGGAGCTAGGTTGTTCTCTGGCGAGATGCGCTCAAGATCAGTCGACTTTGGCGATTTGCTTCTATAATCCACCGGGGAATGTGATCGGAGAAAGCCCTTATTGATGATTATGTTTAGGAGATGCAGTAATGAGTTGTACTCTATTGTCCAATAATAATAGTGATGAATCTAGCACAATGTACAACTTTCAATGCACCTTGTACAATCAACTATTGCGTTATATAGGTCATGGAAGAAAAGCAATGGAGACTTTTTTAAATGGTAAATTGCATTAAATTGAGTCGAACCGAGTAGCTGGTTATTCGAGCTCGGCTCAAAAAATAATATCAAGCTCGAGTTAGAGTAACTTTTTTCAAAAATCGGGTCGAGCTCGAGCTCAAATATTTTTACAATGTTTGAGCTCGAACTCGATGTTGGTTATATGAGTTTGAATTCGGGATTGATTAACTCGTTTATTTACTAAGGTTGATAATTTTTTATATTTTAAATATATAATTTGTAAGCATATAAATATGTTTGGCTCAAAAAAGTGTATGGCCGAATGACTCAGCTCGTCACGACTCGAGTGTGAACATTGGTTTTATGAAGCTCGACTCGTTAAGTTAAACAAACTTTATTTTGTGTTTCATAAACAAATATCCACGCTATTAAATGTTATAAAATCAGTAAATTACTGGTCAAAATAGCTACGGAAAATTTGAACCTCTGTTATATTGATTGAGAAAAAAAATCTTCCTTGCCCTAAATAGAAATTACACGAAACTTCGTTACATTTTGATGCATTTAATTTTCGCCCTTGCCCATAATATACATTGCATTACCTGTTGTGAATCATTGAACCATTGCCGTAGAAAGCAAGAACACAACTCAAAAGCTTGAAGCTTCATCAATGGCGGAACCGAAGATTCAGTTCACCAAATCTTTAGAAATCAGATACCGAAAAGCAAAATCATGAGGAACCCATTCGATCTTCTTACGCGATTTAGCCATCTGATGTTTCTTTATGCTTTTTCTAAATGTGTCCGGTAAACAAAGTTGGATCATCTCGATCACGCCAGCTGCACATAATCCGGAATCTTTCCCAAAGCTTTCAACGATCTTCGGTAAAAGAATTCTTTGATCCTTTCCTACACCGAATGTAGCCCTGATGAACTCTTCTTTCGCTGTTTCTAGCTCTAGGAACACTCGTTTCGGGGTGTAAACACGGACCTGCAAGAACACCATTGTTCAAGACTCGTGCAAGTTAAAGTTATGTTTGGCAGACTAGCTTGAAAAACTGGCTGTTGGTTGATAAGCTAGCTGAAAAATTAGTATAGTTTGATAAAAACTAGCTGATAAAGGCAAACTAGCTGAAACGTTTGCTTTTGGCTGATAAACTAGCAACATTTAGTAAAAACTAGTTGAAAAAGTGGTTGTTGGCTAATAAGCTAGCTGAAAATCTAGTAACACTTGATAAAAATAGTTGTTGGCTGATAAGCTAGCTAAAAAACTAGTAACTTTTTATAAAAACTAGCTTATGATCGCAAACCGGCTGAAAAGCTAGCTGAAAAACTAGTAAAGTTTGACAAAAACTAGCTGAAAAACTGGTTGTTGTTGGCTAATAAGCTAGTATTATTTGATAAAAACTAGCTGATAAGATGGATGACAGTGTAAAATGACCTAAAAGAACATGTTGAAAATATAATTGGAAAAAAGTTTTTGGAGCTTATTGAAACGCTACTTTAAGGCGGTGGTTCAAAAAGCAGCTACCGCACGGGTATCTTCAAAAAAGCTCAAAAAATAAGCCAACTTATGATAGTCAAACATAAAGATGTCTACCGCAGGATCAGAATGGCATCCCGAACAAAGGGCAAAGTGCAAAAGTGGTTCTGGATGGTTGATTGCATAGTGTTGACGATCATCTCCTGCTCTGAGTTTCGTTCTTAAAGATAATAACAATCGAAGCCACTGCAAATATGAAAAACAACCATCTTAAGCTCCATAATCATACTAAACGTTAGAAAGTTATGAAAACCGTTCAAAAATGATATAATTCTTAACGAAAACCATGAATCTACCTGTCCAGGCCGAGCCATTCGACATCCAAGAATCGAGCTCTGAATGACATCTGCACTTACGATGTGACCACCAACGTTATAGGCAGCCTGCATATGTGTAACCCCATTAGATTACTCTCCAAAAGAGCCCTTGAGCCCCCTCTAACAAAGACTAGAAGACACAGATAGAATGTCGAGAGGGGGCTAGACAGGTATAGATTACCCCAAAGTATCGAGTCTCTAAAATGACAGACCTAGGCTCTGATATCATGTGAAAATATGTGGAAACCCATTAAAGTACTCTCCAAAACATCCCTTGATCCCCCTCTAACGGAGGCTAGATGACACAAATAGTCCTAGAATGTCGAGAGGGGCCTAGACAGGTACAAATTGCCCGCGCACGTTGAGTCCCTATAGTGGACATCGGCTCTGATATCATGTGAGAATATATGGAATTCCATTAAATTACTCTTCAAAAGAGCCCTTGAGCCCCCTCCTAGAATGTCGAGAAGGGGCTTGATGGGTACAAATTCCCCTAGAGTGCCGGTCCCTTAAATGGCAGATCTTGGCTCTGATACCATGTAAGAATATATGGACCCCCCAATGGATTACTTTCCAAAAGAAACTTATATTTATATAAAAAAGGGTCCAAGTCTAGCAGATATGGGACTCCAACAGATAAATCTAACAAACAAGGCCCTTTCTTACCTTCAATAACAGAAAGACCCTCTTCATATTGTTTTGTGGGATTCCATAAGCCAAAACAGCCTGTTAGTAGACAAAAACATAAAAAGTTTATATATCGTGCTTAAAAACTAATCGAAGATTGAAGCAACGATTCGATGGATGAGGATCATACATGCATCAACAATGCATTATGTACGTTAATCCAAAAGGCGAGCTTCTCTTCATGCTTCAGTTTCTTCGGATGTACTTCTTCTAATCGAGAAACAAGTGACCTACAACAAGACGATTTCGTTCAAATAAACAAAACCGGAAGAAATTTGCGACAAGGCAGAACAACAAAATCGGCTTTATAGGATGTCAAAGATGTCTAAATGTCCTAATAGACTGTTTTGTAGGACTTAAGTTTTATAGGACCAACCAATTGTGAGTCCAACAGATACCTTAAGTCCTATAAAGCAGTCTATTAGAACATTTAGACATATTTGGCGTCCTATAAAGCCGATTATGTTGTAACGAGGTGTCTTTATTTCATCACCTGAAGTGTTGCAACATGTGTTCGATTTCATCAAGTCTTTGATTGTCTTTATAAAGAGATTGAACTTCGACCATTGTACTATAAGGTCCGCTGAACTCCTTAAGCCCTTGAACCATAAAAGGGTTATCTAACTGCACATCGAAAGACGGTGAATCTCTTCGAAACCCCGGACCCCAAATCATGTCGGAGTGGTGTGTTGGCGAGAAAGCGCTCGTGGATGATGAAGATGATGTGGGAGACGAGAGGCCATGGTTCACGAGTGGTGGGTTAGCAAGCTTGCAGTATATAGCCGACATGCACTTGACCATATCTTCTGAAAGCTTGTTTGGTGTCTCGGGAATGTGATCGGATATTCTAGTGCCAAGATGCTCCGCTAGACTAATTACGCCGGAAGTTGTTTGCGCATACTGTATGGTAACCATATGAATTCATAAACTTAATATGACGTATTTACAACATTCTAAGGCTATATTTAGCAAACTGGCAGATAAGCTAGTTGTTAGTTGAAAAGCTGCTAGCTAGCTGATAAACTAGTCATAGTCATGTTTCGTAAAAGCTAGCTGATAAGCTAGATAACAATGTGAAATTGACCTAAAAGGACATGTTTGAAAAAATAGTTGGAAATTTATGAAGGGCATAATTGGAAAGAAAAAGTGGAAAAACTAGCAGAAAAACTAGCTATTAGCTAATAATAAGCTAGTTGTTGACTGATAAACTAGTCATGTTTGGTAAAAACTAGTTGATAAGCTAGATGACAATGTAAAATGACTTAAAAAAGACATTTTGGAAAAACTAGTTGGAAATTTATAAAGGGTATATGCGGAAAAAAGTGGAAAAACCTTTGGAGCTTATTAAAACGCTATAAGCTAGTTTATGGCTAACCAAACACGATTTTTTCAATAAGCTCTAAAAATAAGCTAGCTTATGGTTGCTGAACATAACTTAAGATGAAAACAACATGTATTGTAGAAATGCGAAGGTACCTCCACCATGGATGGTGGTTGTGAGCGGCAGGCACGCAACGCTTTGCCAAGAATCTCCGCCGGAGAAGGTCTAGTTACCGAAGAGTGACAATGTTGAACACCAGAATCTAAAAGTTGGTCTTCTTCTTCTCCAGAACATCCGTTGGCTTCTTGCCATGAATTGGCTTGTAACGAGATATCCGCCCTGCAACTTTCAAGATACTTCCCTCTTGGAGTAATTAATGGCGATTTTAATCTTTGAACGTTTCTTAACGGAGATGGGCACGAAATTTGTTGATCAAATGCCTTTCGGTATAACGACAGAAGATACTGCTCCAAATGTGAAACTTCGTATTCTAGAACCGCAATTTCTTTAATAAGCTTTGTTGCCGGCTGCAATAATTTTAAGTGGAACACTATGAAGATAGAACGATCTACGTACAAAATTCAACAACTTACATCACTTGCAACAAATCGACTTTATAGGACACCAAATATGTCTAAATGTCTTAATAGATTGTTTTATAAGACTTAATTTTATAGGACCACACGATAAGTTAATAAGTCGCTTTTGGGCGTCCTAACAAACTTTTTTAGGACAGGCTTGAAATTGAGCGTGTTATTAGTCTTTTTATATAACAATATATGAAAAAGTGTCTTATAAAAATAAAGTCTTCTGTAAAAAAGATGTGTTCATAGAATACTTCTCAAAAGTGTCAAAAAAAACCTGTTAGAACGCACGAAAATGTCCTATCAACGTATTATAACACCTTTACATAGACGCACAATTGTTTGGTCTTATAAACTGAAGTCCTATAAAGTAGTTTATTAAAATATTTAGACATATATGGCGCTCATATAAAGCCAATTTTGTTGTAGTGCATTTAGCGGTAAATCTATTCACATGTGAATAAGGGTTTATGGTTCCATCAAAGGAGAACAATTTACCTTAGGAATAGAGGCTTGATTTGCAATATCAACAGAAGACCCATAGCCTAATGCTTGTTCTAACGCACCACGCTCGCAAACTTGATCTTGTAATTTTTTCTCGAGCTGCAATATCTAAAGACCGGATAAAAGTTATGAATTTGAGAAGAAACGAAAAGGGTTGTAAAGGGTCAAAGTTGTTGACTTTATAGATCAAACATGTGTACAATTGCACCTCATCCCTCAAAGAGTTCTGAACTTCTGCATTAGGCAAGTGATTCTTCTTGGCATTCACACAGTTCTCTGAGTGTCCCTTGTCCTGATATTGCATACAAAAAATCATATATTTAGACAATCAAATTGAGTATTAATATGCAATCATTCTTTCCCAAACGACGAGCAGGGTTTATAAGGAGTTCCAGTTCAACAACCGAACAATAGTTTAGCTTAATCCATACAGACGACTTAATCCATACTGAAGCAAGAACATGGATCTTTTCTTATTCATGAAGATAACAGATTTAGAGAAAGCATACTTACTAATTTAAGTCTGTCAGAAGGTTGAAGACCATCTTCTTCAAATTTACTCTTGTCTAGAAAGCTGCCATTGTTAAGTGTAAATGAAGGTTAATAAGAATGGTGTTGACCATAACTTAATAAGAGTCTTTATGACAGAATAATGAAGAAAAAAGTAATGAATAGAGTTCATAAAAAACTGCAGAAATTTCCACAAGAATGTGCAAGGAAAGAAACAAGATGATTCTTGGAGGCACATATTCAAGATTTCACACAATTCACAGGTACCCATGATCCCCCCTCCCCCAAAAAAAAAATCCCTTCATTTTCTGTTCAAATTCGTGGGTTTTCTTCACAATGCCATGTTTATTCACAAGAAATTAATCAATGAATAAATATCCCCCCCCCCAAATTTTCTATTCAAATTTGTGGGTGTTCTTCACAATGCCATGTTTTGTCCCCATGATTACAGTAAAAAGATGAATAAATACCCAAAATTTTGTTTGTACAGCTTCATAAGTCATTTCTAGTCAGTGTTATTCACCATATTCACAAGAAATCCAACAGATACCTTTTAGAACGTTTGTGAATACCGGTCGCTGATCCCACTTCAGCCATGCTACTACTGGTACTACACTCAACATTCATCTCTGCATACCAAAACACAAATCACTACCAATATCAGCAAACAGTTAGAAAAAAAAAGATGCAAAAATGGTTAAAAATGGATCAGTAGAAACAAATTACCACCACTATCCAAGAAGAAAGCTCTTATAGACCCACAATCGCAAATAAGAAATGGGTCCCAAAACCCTCTGAAATCAAGGTCAAAACCCCAACTTTTCTTCTCGCATAACACAAAAGAAGCTCAAAGAATGGCAAAGGAAAGAGGGTTCATCTCTGTGTCCAATGTGTAAGCCTTAATCCTGAAGAAACTTCACACAAATCTTTACAACTTCCTTTTTGGGTCTTTCGTATTTGTGAACTTTTGTTGGAAGAACAACAACAAAGATTCCTATTTTAGATGCTTAAACAATAGAGATATCAAAAGGGGTTTGAGAAAAAAGAAAAGGGTTTCAATGAATGAATGAATAAAGATCAATTCATAATGAATATGCTCATTACTTGTAGAAAAATCAGAAAGAAAGCAAGAAATTATGCCCAAATCTCTGCTTTCTTTCTAGAGTCTCTTTGTTGCAGGCAAGTGGGAGTTGGTGACCATCTTCTTCCACCTTTGTCCCATACCACCATTTATATATACACCTGCAACCTGCAACCTGCATCCAACTCTGTTTGCCAAAAAGGTGTATGGAAATGCATAAATCTTTAAATTAAATTATTATTATAAGTTTCTAATTTGAAAAAAAACACACACCCATGTGAAAATAATGGACCTAAAAGGTGTTATAAGTTTCATCCTTTGGTTTATTACTCCAAGAAGGAGACAAATTATAAGATTATGATCTCATTTTGGTATTATTTCATATATGCATTTTAATGTATTAATCAAGAATTAATATGACCAAAAAAATCCCTTTTATGCTTCTATCACATAAAAGATTTAAGTTGTATAATCAACAGAAAACTCTTCGGAACTGGGTCGTTTAAGTGTGCGGCTAAAGCGTTCAGTGATCCGCAGTCAAATGCTAGAAAGTTTGATAATGTACCACAATCATCTATAAAGTTAGACAATTTGATATTACACAAGAAACAAAATCGTCTTGTTGGTCTTTTTATATGATATTTTTTTAAAAAGTGTAAGGCTAGAATATAGGAATTTAAGCTGTTGGTTTTATAAACTTAATTCCTATTAAATACTCCATTACGTCATCCAATGATGGCTAAGAACATCTCCAACAAATTATCTATAATTGATCTAAAATAGAGAATAAAAATTAAATTTTTTAAAATGAATTACATTCAGCTCCAACAATTTCTCTACTTTAGATGTTTTATCAGTAATATTATTAAAATATTCTATAATTTTATCATCTCAATACCTTTTTTTTATCAGTAATATTATTAAAGTTTTTTTTTCTCTTTTTGGATAAAAGAATTCTCCAAAGTTAAATGCTGAAGAGATAGAAATTTATTTATTGTTTCCATCAATAAAATTGTAATTTTAGTATAAAATTTATTGAGATATTAAATATCTTAATAATATAATTAATACTGAAATCTCTAAAATAAATAAACTGGTAAAAATGGATATAATTATTTTTGAAAATTTACAACTTTTCCTTTTTGATTTTACAGAAATTATATTGAAACAACACTAAAAACACATAAAGAAACATCCAAAATCCACATTCTTGTTGTAGTTTTAAAGGGGAAAAAAAAGGCATGCATGCATGTATGTATGTCTACTACTTTTTGCTTTTGGTTTTATGAAATTCGAGTCACACTTTTGTTGAACGAAACAATCCAAACACTTGAACCCAAATGGTGTTTTGTGTCTCTTATGTGGATTGTTGTTAGGGTTCTCAATGCAAAACCAATTAAGTAACCAACCACAAAACAGAACAAAAGAAAAAGGTTAAAATATCAAAAACAAAGTTATCTTAAAAGGAATGAAACGTATAAAGCTACTGGATATATATATATATATATATATATATATATATATATATATATATATATATATATATATATATA